ATAGTGTCAGGTAATACTATTGCTTTTCAACGTTCCATTACTATTGTAAGTTAAAAAGAAAGTGATTCGCAGAAACTGCAATGGCATACATATTTAGCTTTTTGCAAAATGGCAGGCACATAAAAAATAATTCGGCTCTTCATTATGGGTGGTACGTTTACGTTAATTTAAAATTAACGTTAACTAAAACCGTTAATTAACTCGCATTAAATTAAATGATTCACCCGTACTCTTCATTCGTGACCTAACAATAGCTACGCCATTATAAATGAGCTCTAACATATTAGTTAGCATAAATTTGTAACATGTTGATATCTTATGGAGCACTGACCACTATCGGGGTTAAAACTGCCTCATTTATAATTCGAGTTAAAACTTTTGTGTTATAATCGATGAACTTTTAGGTCGAAAAGTTAATTCGGCGGTAATATTCAACCGTAGCTATAACATTTCACCCTGTGTATAACCTGCAACCCTAGTTATAACATTCAACCCTAGTTATCACATTAAACTCTACTTATAACACTGAACCATGGTTATATCTAACAACTACTATTATTTCACAGATTTGTTACATTGATTTTTCAACAACATCTATGACCAAGTATAAGACGTGGCCAAGTTCCCAGAAGCCAGGAACTCTTCGGGAATCAGGAACTCAAAAATAAATAAGCGACAACGAGCGATGTGAAACCAAAACACATGAAGCATCTCAGGGAAATCAAGGTACTCAGGGAACTCAGGGAAGCCGGGGATTCCAAGGAACGTTGAGACTACAAGGAACTCAGGAAACTCAGGGAATCCAAGGAACTCAGGGAAACCAGGGACTCCGAGAAACTCTGGGGCTCCAAGCAACTCAGGGAACTCAGAGAAGTCACAAACGTCACTGAAGTCAGGAAAGTCAGGGAATCCAAGGAACCCACGATACAGTGTAAGTGTATGTATAAAGGAAGGTAGTAGAAGTCACCCACACTCACGCCCAAAATTTGGACTTACAGGTTTTAGATGTTGCTGAGCAATATGGAACTATCAAATCAAAAATTTTAATTTTATCGAGTGCCTCGGTATATGATATGATCCTCGATAGTCTCCAGAGATGGGCAAGTCCGGAGTTAACTCCCCTAGCAACAAAGCACGCAGCGTACAACTCCTTAGCAACCGTCCGAGTTAGGGGTTGCTGAAGTATCACTCTTCCATATACAGTTCTAAAACTTCATTTTTCTTCTCGGATATCTTATCTAACTCCGGCGGAGTTGACCAAAAAAAGCCGGAGCTGCCCATCTCTGATAGTCTCATGGACTCTCTCTTAATATCGAACAGTAAACTATTCAGATTTGGATAACACTTAAATCTTGTAGTGTTATATGTTATTCTTGATTCTTTTTGAAATGAATAACGATAAAATATATCATTCATTATTTTATCAATTTATTATCATACATTTAAATATTAATAAATCGTTATCTTTCACTTTTTTGCCAATAGTAACAATGAACTCATCCCTTTTTAATCAATTATCTTGACATAGATATGCTGTAAATAATTCTGATACTAAATCGTTAGAGAATTTCAATCTAGACTCAGCGGCAACAGGTTTCGTCTTTTTTACTATATTTTCTTCCCATGGACTAGTCCATGTAAGCCACAAAGGGCAGAATAGAAGAACTACTCAAACGATGTGTTCAGATTTTGTTCAAATTACTGTATTACTATGGAGGGCACGCTTTTATGAATCTTGGCGCAACCCGTTTTGAAAAATAGTGGGCCTTCGATTTTGTATGACTTTTACGAAAGGGCCTATAAAACAGCATTTCGGTCTATGTGGATTTTTATGCGATCATACCTGGCGAGGGGTGCTGCAAATAAGAGAGAAATTTTCTGTGAATATACATACTAATTAGTTACATGTTGCATAAAATTTTCAGCTCAAAATATTGAGTTTTCCCTTTTCTGAGACTCATCAAATATAAGTAAAAACTCAAATTTTGGGTCCCTTTGGAACTTCATAAATCGTGATGAGAATAACACAGAGACCAGATATTTTTACCAGAGCTAGGTTCCATAGCGAATTCTGTATCCTAGAAACTTCAGCTTCTTATAGGCTTTCTTTCGACCAATAGGATTCTCAGGAAAATGTGCTTTTAAGAAAATCGTGATTTTCAGACAGGTTTTCGTCGAAAAAAACCTGATTGGAGGCGAGCTGAGTCTTGAAAGTTGTAAAAGCTATCTGAGCTGTACAGTTTCATGAAAAAATTAGTCTCCTTCATCCAGAAACAGCTTGCAGCTGATATAATCTTTTTGGGCTTTTAGCTAATTATTTGGGTCAGTTCATACAGTATATGCCCACGAACAGATCACGGTAGAGATCTACAATATTACTCACGAATTGACCTCATGGAATACTCGTTGTGGTCGAAAATTCAATTATCCAACTAATTCCTATGAGTCGGAAACCTTTTCACTAAATTACTGTTTTCAGCAAAAATCATGATTTTGGCATAGGCAGATTCCTAAGGAAATGAGTCATAAAGAGATTGAGCTCATACTACATTAAATAACACAACGGTAACTCAAACATTGTGTAAAAATCGGCTGAGCAGCTTGTAGAGCAGTCTTGGAAACTCTACCACGAAATAGCAAAAATGACACATTTCAATAACTGTATATTGAGTAACATTCAGAAATTTATGGCATAGACCCACGCATTGAAATAAATTCTATACGCTTAAATTCAGCACATCATCTTATATTGGCATTCGAAAGAAATTCCTTTTAAACCAAAAAAAAGGTTTTTCAATAAAATTCCCGTGCCCCTTCCAAGGGTTTACGCAGTAACGCTTTTTCAAAAAACGTTTTCTTGACTTGCAGAGAATTCTTGTATGAATTTCAATAGCGATTGATGCACAGATTTTAAATGGATAGAATTTATTTCAATTCATCAAATCGTTCTATAAATTTTTGACTAAACGGCCGTTTACACTAATTGAAATGCGTCTTTTTTAGTATTTTGTGGCAAAATTTGCGAGACTGTTCTGCAAGTTATCCAGTCGATTTTTACAAAATGTTTTAGTACCCATAGTGTTCTTTAATATAGCATGAGCTCGATCTTTACAGGACTTATCTTCTTAGAAATCTACCTATGCCAAAATCCTGGTTTTGTAAAAAAAAGATCATTTGGTGAAAGGACTCCTGAGTGATAGGAACTAGTTTGCTGCAAGCCATTTTTGCATGGCGTAGATTGATTTTTGCATCAAGTATACAGCTCAGATACCCGTTCCAACTTCCAAGACTCAGTCCTTCAACAATCGGGTTTCTTCGGGCAAAAGTTCGTCTGAAAATCACGATTTTCGTCAAAAACCAATTTTCGGAGAATCCTATTGGCGAAAATGAGAGGCATGACAAACTGAAATTTTTAGGAAACATACATCGCTATGAGTCCTAGCTCCAGCGAAAATTTCAGACCTTAATTTTGTTCCTCTCACGAGTTACGAAGCACCAAAGTTGCTTAAAATGCAAATTTTCGCTCATATTGAATGAGTCATAAAAGCTTAGTAACTCATTATTTTGAAGTGAAAATTTTATGCCGGCAATAACTCATGAAGATATACGTCCATAAATATTTTAGCTTGATCGGTCACGCCGTTCTTGAGATACCGTCTCATGAAGACCCTCGTTGGTTAATAAGTTGATTTTTTCGACTTTTTGAAAAACACCCATAACAAATCAAAAGGTTCAACATTTTGCGAAGCAGTTTGAGTCGAAGTTCATAAATTCTTCACTCTATAAGATTATCTTAAGTTCAGCGAATTCTAAACTCTTCGATGGGTGTGGGTGTGGGTGTTGATCTTCTTTTACTTGTCATGAACTAGCACACTTTCGCCAACACCCACACCCACACACTGACACAAAAATAAAACGTGGTGTAAAACGTTTCCCTATAACATACAATTTGTGATATAAAAGTCATAATCTCTTTCATAGAGACCCCAATATAGATTTTACGATAAAAAATTGAACTTTCTGAGCTTAAATACATACGGACAAACTTTTAATGCCAGCAGTAGAACTATTCGCAATCAAACCATCATACATCGTGTGATAGATATTATCATGACTTGCAAAACGAAACTGTGACGGTATCTGTGACGACATCGCCATAACCGTTCTTTCTGATTATTCTATTCGTATTATCCCTTTCTTTTCTATTCTGTATGTCCTATCCGTTCTATCTCTTCTGGTTGCGTATATAAACGTGTGTTTTGTATGTGTCACAGTTGACATGAGAATTTCAGTTGAGATTGGAATGCGCGAAATAAAATTATTTGAATTTCTTCTTTTTTGTTTTTTTCCCCTGCTCGTGTTTCATAAAATAAAATATATTTAAAAGGAAAAAAGATTTTACTATTAAATTGAATCGAATGAATGAAAGAAATTATAGGTAAATGATTACCTTGTGTTTTATGTATAATAATAATAATAATAATAATAAAATTTTGTTTTGTTTAAATTCTACAGGTATGAGTCATAATATAATTAATCTCCTCGGAATAATCATCAGATTGTATTACAATGATGTTTAGTACATTTTTATATTTGATTTATAAAAGTTGTATAAATAAAAAAATTAATTTTTCTCAGATAAATTNTGTTGCAGGAGAAATTAAAATTCAGTAGAATTTAAAATTCTACTAGTAGAAATTAAAATTTTAATTTCTACTAGTATAACTTAAAATCACCAAATTATTTTAATTTCTACTAGTATAGCTTGAAATTTCCGGTTATTTTAATTTCTCCTAGTAGAGAATTAAATTTTAATTTCTCCTATAGTAGAATTTTAAATTCTACTAGACACTTTTATTATAGAACATATTTTAATTTCTCCTATAGTAGAGATTGAAATCCACGTTTTACATTAATGATTATCTATAAAAGCAACATATGATTATTTCTAAATTAGATAACTGTTCTAGATATAGTTTGATCTATCAAGTATTCAACAATTAGATATTTGAACAAGGCTGTTTTTTGGCAGGATGACACTTTGAAGCACATTGCACTTTAGCTGCTTTACATGGGCACTTTTTTGTAGCACAATTTCCATTGCAGGTACATGCTTCAACTACTGGATTAGATCCGGTACTAACATAATCCTTACAAGCTTGAATAAATGTTTGTAATGGTAATGTTTGTGAATCAATAGCTCGTAATTCAGAAAAATTGCATTTGGTTAAATCAATAAGATCAGGAGCAGTGTATTTTGTAGACAGAATACATTTTGTGGTGCAGAGATGATAAATGTTCGTATTATCGTTTGATGATTGTATTGAAATAACCTTGCATGGTAAAATTTTCGGTGTCGTGTTGGTTCTGTCGACTTTATCGATCTTCAGACCGACTACATCTCCAAGTTGGTATTGTCTTAACTTGATAGTCTCATCATATTTCTTTTGTCTTTTCGCAATTGATTGCATGTAGCATTCTTCTGCTTCATCTCTTATCTGTTTATGTCTGCTAATTACTGAGCTGTCATCCTCAGCACTATTGTTATCTATACTATTAGTTGAAGCCAAAGTCGAAAAGCATACAACTAATACAGAAGAAATTATTTTACTTCAAACCAAAACCTATTTTTATACTACCTTCTTCATGATCTATTTCAGCACAACATTTAGCAACTTCATTTTCTTCTGTGTCTTTTTCTTTATTTGATTCGAAATTCGATGGTGATATGGATTCAGATGCTTCAACACCAGCTATTGAATTAGGTGATATGGTGGCATTAGTTAGTGAGGTTATATTATTTGCAGTAGAGATAGAAACACCTGCAGGTACCTCAGCAACAGCTTGAGTAGGATTAACAGTTACAAGTTCACTGCAAACATCTATAATCATTCAAAAGCTATTTTATGTATAAAAGCATGAACGTATTAATTTTTACTTTCATTTAAGGCTTCCATAATTTCTCTTGGAAGCTTTTCCTCATCTTCTATGCCATTTTCACTCAATAACTTCCACATTTCGAAGTCGGAACGAGGCTTTTGACCAAATACGACCTCATACGGCGTTTTGCCGATCGTCTGAGCTTCACTAGTATTGATTGCATAGGCAACCGGTGCTAATCCTTAAACCATATGAGAACAATCGGTCAGTACTCAATGAAAGATTTTTCACGCACCTTTAGACCATTCAGATGAACCTTTAGATTGCATCCATTTTCCTAATGCTGCTTCTAAAGTTTGATTGCCTCTTTCCACTAAACCTTGTGTTTGGGGGTGACGGGGTCTGCCATTAATGATTACCAAATCCGACCAGATATTTTTCAAATCCTAAAAGAGTAGATAAAAATTAATTCAAATAGGAAAGGTTTTTAAGTCTTCAATACTTTGATGACTTGCGCTACAAACTCCTTCCCGTTATCTGATTGCAATATCCTCGGAGGTCCAAAAGCATAGAATTGCTGAAGTAGAGTTTCAGCTACAGGTTGAGCTTCCTTTGTTTTAAGAGGATACGTCCATGAATACTTCGTGAAATGATCCTTAGCATGAAGGATCCATTTAAATTCACCATCAGGAACACTTCGCATGTCGATTAAATCTATTTGTAACCGTGTGAGATAACCAATTGAAACAATAGGCTTATCTATGACATAAACTAATTTAATAGTATCCAGAGTATCAGAAAAAAATAGGCGTACCAGTTATTGGCTTTGGAAATCCTTTTCGATTCGAGCATACATCACACAGCGAAAGAAAAATCACCACTACATCAAATGGAATCCAACAATACTGCTGCTTCACCTTAATTATAAATAATATCTCAATTATTTTTCTATTTGATTTGTTTAAAATACTACCTCATTCCATGTCTTATCACGTCCATGATGTCCTACTCTTTCATGGCATTCTTTAATCGTTGCGTATAACTGTTCATAAGTTATTACCGGATTATTTGATTTTTTGCCATACACAACTTGTAATTCTCCAATAGTCACCAATTTAAAGTGCTTGAAAACCCAAAATTTAAACTGGGCCTCACCGGAACCATCTTTCAGCACCAACACGATGTCGTTATAAACCACTTTCGTGATAACAAACTTACACCGAAATTTCTCACTTAAATTTTCGATATGTTTATCGATTTTCTCATAGAACAGCTCCATTTTATAAAATACTTTTTCGATTTTTTCGATACTGATGCGTGTATCTTAGATAAAACAATTAAATCCTTTTTCTTTTCTTTATTCTATGTACAAATCATTAATGTAAAACGTGGATTTCAATCTCTACTATAGGAGAAATTAAAATAACCGGCAATTTCAAGTTATACTAGTAGAATTTTAATTTCCCCTGTAACATATATATGAAAAAATCGTACTATTTTATTTCGACCTGAAATTCTGCTCAAATACAAGTCTATTTTGCCAATGAAACACCCTGAAAGTTTTAGTGATACTATAATAACTCAAGAACGCAGCATTATCTTGAACTGCAATTTTCAAGATCTTTTATTTACAAATAGATCTGCCTTTGAGCAGAACTCTAATAAGTTACTTATAAATCTGAACGGATAACTTAAGGGGATTTGCTATTTTCGAGATTTTTCATACCTCAGTAGTAGTGTACTGCGTGATTGATATTTTTGATCACGATCACCATCACGATCATGAACAAAACAGGGTTCTCAATCACGAACACTATTTGGGTTTTAAATTACAACCACGATCACGCAGCACACTACTCAGTAGACTCTGCCATATGCAAAAGTTCGAACTCAAAATCTCTGGAATAGTTGAAAACGTTTCTTTGTCATATTCTCTATGAGAGAATAAGTTTTATGTGTCAGAACGTCATTCAAAGCTTCACTCAAACCAATAGTCATAGGTGTATAGTTTTCATTCTTTTGAAAGCTTAAGAAAGGAATATCTAACAGGTTTGATGATATATAATCATGGAAATTCTTGCGAAGAGTGTTGATGTGAATAAATAAAGTCTAATATGAAAGAGAACGATTCACCTGAGCGTAGCTCTGCAACATACGATGTTAGCATTTTCATTGGCGTATTACAACGGATGTCGAAATTGATCTCGCAACATTATAAAACTCTTTTTATGAAATCGACATCGAGTATATTGGAATTGTTGCATCTTTGAATTGAAGCTATAGTGAAGTGTCAAAAGTAAAATAAACTACTGTTGTTTTCATTAATGTTCTTTTTGCAATCATAACTATTCATCATCTTTCATTTGCATGTGTGTTTTCATGTTCTCTATGAACAAGATAAAAAGAATGAATAAACATCAAGAATCTTAGTGTCTGATTATTTTTCTTTATTGACTAATAAGAAAGATGCAAAAAAAGAGTGAAAAACTATAAACTAAAAATGATAGATAAGTGCAAAATATAGTATTCGAAGTTTTACTTTCTAAAGATAATTAATAAATGAAGACATGCGTGAATATTTTGATTAGTTGCATTATAAAAAAAGTGCCTGTTTGCTGAGAAATGCTTGACAATAACAAGCTAATTTCCAAATGGACGATTAATATTCAGAAGTTTTAATGAGTATTGTCGTCCGACTTCAGTTACTCCAGCGAAATCAATTGTTGTAGGCAGCTCTTGAATACATCGTGGATCACCGTATTCTGCAGGAAACAATTTGGGAAATAGCCAAGATGTAGCAATGGTGATTGGGCACAAATAACCGACTACACCAATATTAACAGTAACATGTCCAGCAAGTGGTATTGCGTAGAATTTTCTTGTTTTCGATGTGATTGATGCAAGATGCGATGCTTGTTCAAAAACTGTTGCTGGATCAAGTTGACCAGAGAGCATTAATACAGGTGCTTCCTCAGCAAATTTTCCATAATATTTATCCAATGGATACTTGGGCCATCGTGAACGCAATTTAAAATAATTCGGAGCATAGTTGAGAGACATTATGGTAGAAGCATGCCAATCATTGAATGTTTGTTCATCGATTTCAGTCTCGTTCACTGCTAACCACATTTCGGATTGACCGATGTTATAGGCTAACGCTCTTGAAAAAAGAAGAATAGGATATTCGCTAGCAGCTGTTGTTGCAGTATGATTGAAAAAGTATGTCAAAACAGTAACATCATCTAAATTGCAACGATTTAGTCGATAAATAACAGCAGGAACGATGGTACGATCCATATAACGTGTTCCATCATTGACCAAATCAAGAAAAACATTACGAAGTTTATTTGGAGTTAGTTTATATTGACTGAAATATTTCTTGATACATTTTTGTTTGTTTGATTTCAATTGTTTTAGTATTTTGTGAAGCATCATAGGTGCTGGTAGATCGGGTAAAAAGTTTTTACTACATTCAGGCTGTCGTTGACAGTAGTCGAGAAATTGCCAGGTAACACCCGATGTCAAAAGATCAGCACGACTATTGGAACTTGTGATAGGATTGAATACTCCATCCATTACAGAAGCTTGAACTACTGTAGGATAGATTTGTAGAAAACGATCCAACCACAATGTACCATATGATACAGCTAAAACTCCAACGCGGCCTGGATTATCAGTTTGATAAGATTGAATTTGTATTGATAGATCATGAGCAGCTGAGGTGACAGAAAATTGATTGATTCCTTCGCGTCCCCATTTCGATAATAAATAGGTGATACATGCAGAATCTACCGTTTGTGATGCATTATCGTCACAGGTAAGTGCAGTTGATAGTCCAGTACCACGATGATCAGGTAATATGATTGTCATACCAAGACTGGATGGGATGCTGCCCAGAGCATTATAGAACAAATTCCAACCTGATCCACCTGGTCCGCCACTAAGCATGAAAAGAGTATTTGTCTCGTTAGTTGCTTGTTGTGGACTAAGACGAGCCATCGAAATAGTAATTGTTCTATCAGGATTAGCATAGTTCAGTGGTACTTCTAAAGCACAGCAGTCTATTGCATAGCCAAGTTGCGAAGATGGAAAACCAGAGGCACCGCATGGTAACCAGGCGCATCGATTTTGGAGAGCATAAGCAGTTGCATCAAATGATGTTGTTTGAGCATCATTCTGCTGAGCAAGTAGAGTAATTATTAATACGAATGCAAAGATTAGTGACATCGTGGCGTATGCACAATAATTATTTCGTTTGTCTCCAGGGATGAATGATATTCGTGCAGACGATCTTTTTGATTTCTTTGTGTTTTCAATTGTGACCAGAGGATAAGCTGTGTGACTGCAAAAAAATCGAAGAGAAGATCTAGAGAAGTCGTACTTTGTGTGCGAGTGTGGTTCTGAAGTAAGAATCATATGAAGTCAATTACATTATTTACAAGTTTTTATCTACATATATCACGTCACACACATAGGAAAATTGTAGCAGAATGTTTCTGTGAGGTGGCAACGTTCCTTGTGAATAAAATCTCCGAAAAAATCCGTGAATTTAGAATTTGTTCAGTTTATGCCAAATTTTTAGCCTCTCTCATTCTTCAAAATAATAGATAGCTCTGGGTTCACCTTGGGAATCAGATTGCAGTTTTTCAAATGACTAGATTTTTTCTCTCGCTTAACATTCTTAAGAAAATAGTACGCTTACTCATTTTTAACTTAAAAAAGGACAGAAATACGGGATACATACAAATGATAGGAAAAAAAAACTGTAACCATACATTTCGATCGAATAATATGAATATAGATATGAGGAATAGAACTAATCACATGCTGATAGCACATAAATAGAAGATTAGGTACAGATAAAGACAGATAAATTTGTCGCAAACAATCTGCTAGAGTTAGCAGAGATTAAAAATAGACAAAATGCGTATACTCTAGTTGTTATTGTATGCTAGGTCGACTATCATGCCTACTTGAAACGAAGGTAAAAGCAACTTCAGCTAAGCATCTTTTCATGATCCCAAAAACGAGTTTTGAGTTCGTTTCAGTACTCGAAAGCTCTTGTTAGCCTACCGTTTCTTATGTCAGGAGATTTCTGTCCTTCTATAAGTATGTTCTCTCTTCGTCTCTCTGTTTCATTTTATCACGTTTACAATCATTCCATTCTTCTTCTCGTATCTATTCTATTTTTAAGTGAGTGTTAATGTTTAAAGAAGGGGGATTATTTCTTATGAAAAGATAATAATAAGAAGAAGAAGGCGCAATAAAGAAGAAGATTGTAACACCGTTATTTCAGTCTACACCCTCAAGATTTTCGATATAAAAGCTACACAAACATAGGCTGTTCAAGAATACGTAAAGATACTTTCGAGTAATTAGTCTTAGTACTTTCCAAATAGTTAATAGAAGATTCATTCACCACAAAGATTAATTACAAACTGCATTTCCACACAAAATATTTACTTCGAATAGAAATCTAACACTGACTATATAAGGTCCACTTACTGGATTGAAAACACTCTCTTCCTACCGTTCACATTAAAAATAAATACTATGGTAGAATTTCTATCAATCGATTTAAATAATCATGCTCAAGGAATTTCATTTATAATACTTCGTCTGAATGCAGTTTGTTTATGAATATAAAAAAAAATTGTACTCACAATACTTTTTCATACATGAATGCGTTTACCTTTCTGCAAGTTTTATTTACTCTCATATGAAGATTTTTCTTTGATTGTTAATTATGTCTGGTTATATTAGTTTAAACATTGTGTGATTGTACAAGCTATAGAAAAATAGCTTTTCTTGGCAAGGTAAATAACATGTTCATAATATTATAAATGATATTTATCATTATAATTTAACCGCATAGCTGTATCCTAGACACGTGTATCATGAAAAAGCAAGAGAAATTACATCGAATACACATCAACTACATTATAATAATACAATCATAATTATTTTCCCTTTCGTATCATGTGTATTTTTGTTATTTTTCTTCTACATTATTGACATACGTAAATAAGATTCGGATCTTAAACTGTACGAGTATGAATCAGTGGATTGCAAAATAGATTAGCACAGATTTCTTACTATCAAATTTCGTATACAAAAAACTCTACGGTTATAGAATATTCAATTGTAAACTAATGCGCAAGTGATGTTGTTTTTCTGGCGTAAATTTCTTTGTTGGAAATATTCCCTGTAGGTGAATAATGCTTTTATCATATCCATCAGAATCAAATCAATAGTTTAGAAGCAAAAATCATGAGAATT